CCTGGCCCCCGCGGCCCCCCTGTGCAATGGGTGCACCCCTCGGATCCGCCCGGAGTTCGCCCCTCCCCGAGTTCCGGGTGGGCACAATTGTTAGGGACACCCCCGCCCCCTCCCTGTCTTTTCGTTTCAGAGGGATGTCAGCTAGGGTTCTTCTAGAACTGTCCTTGGGAGCTGAGCTAGGTTCTGTGCCCATTGCACAGACGGAGAGAGAGAGAGAGTGGGGACTCTTATCTTCCTGCTGAGCAGGGGATCCATCTTTGTGTCTGTGTGTGTTTCCGTCTGTCTGTCTGTCTGTCCTGGGTCTTGAACTCAGGCCCTGGACACTGTCTCTGAGCTTCTTCACCTAAGACTTGTGCTCTACCACTTGAACCACACAGTGCCACTTCCAACTTTGTTTTTTCCCTTTGGTGATTAATTGGAGCTGGAGTCTCACGCACTGCCGTGCCCAGGCTGGTTTGGAACCACCAATCCTCAGATCTCAGTCTCCTGAGTAGCTAGGATTATGTGAGCTACCATCCTCTCTCTGAAAGTGATCAATCACATTGTTATACTGTTATTCTCCCCCCCCCACACACACACATACACACTGCCCCCACCAGCCGCCCCCAGATCCCCCTCACATACCTCTCCTCTATAGGTTGGGCAGTTAAAAGCCGGACGAGTTTTAGTAAGATCTCCAGCGTTCACGTCTGTGGCCGCCGCTATCGTTTTGAAGGCGAGGGTAAGCAGCTTGTGGATTGGGATGAGGGTCCTCGTAGAGGGGGAGATTCCCCGGGGTGGCCCCGATGGCAGCTGATGAACTCGATCTTGTAGGTGACATCCAGCGATTCCAAAGGGACTTCGTGTCCCGTCTGTGGCTCACCTATCGCAGGGACTTCCCACCCCTGGCTGGAGGCTGCCTGACCTCCGACTGTGGCTGGGGATGCATGTTACGCACGGGTCAGATGATGCTCGCCCAGGGCCTGCTACTGCATTTCCTGCCCAGAGGTGAGTCAGGCAGGTGAAAGGGTTGGTGTGCGAGAAGGTTAGTGACGGTCCTGTTAATAATGTTAGGATCCTTCTCAAAAAGGAAGTAGTTTCAAATGACATTCCAGGGGCTGGGAAGGTGGCTCAGTGGTAGAGTGCTTTCCTTGCATGCATGAGGCCCTGGGTTCGATTCCTCAGCATTCCATAAGCAGAAAAAGCCAGAAGTGGTGCTGGGCTCAAGTGGTAGAGCGCTAGTATAGAGCAAAAAAATGCTCAAGGCCAGTGTCCCGGGTTCAGTGCAAAAAAAACCCAACAACCCACATACAAAAAGGTTCAGGCAAGCCGGGCGCCGGTGGCTCAGGCCTGTAATCCTAGCTACTCAGGAGGCTGAGATCTGAGGATAGCTGTTCAAAGCCAGCTGGGCAGGAAAGTCCGTGCACGACTCTTATCTCCAATAAACCCTTAGAAAACCTCTTATCTTCAATAAACGCTTAGAAAACCGGAAGTGGTGCTGTGGCTCAAGCGGTAGAGCACTCGCCTTGAGCTGAAGAGCACAAGGACAGCGCCCAAGCCCAGAGTTCAGGCCCCACAAAAAAAAAAAAGGTTCAGCAGTGTGAAAATTGTACTTCAAGGGGCTGGGATGTAGCTCAGTGGCAAAGCGCTTGCCTAGCAAGTGCAACGTCCTGGGTTCGATCCCCAGTACCAAAAAAGAAAAGACAAAAAAAAAATTGTACTTAAATTTGGGGTTTTCTGGAGTATTGGATCGTTTATGAAAGCCAAGAGTGGTTGTGTGTGCCTGTAGTCCCAGCTACTCACCAGGCGGGGTCTGAGGATGGAGGTTCCAACCCAGGCAAGACAGCAAAGTCTGTGAGACACTTATTCCCAGTTAACCAACAAAAGGCCAGAAGTGGAGCTGTGGTCAAATGGTAAAGCACCAGCCTTGGGAGAAAAAAATCTAAGGGACAGCTCCCAGGCCCTGAGTTCAAGCCCCAGTGCCATCACACACATAAGTATAGTGTGCAGGAGTAGGCGCGCTGCTCTGCACACCGGCACTGTTTGTGTATTTCATGTCCCCCTTAGACTGGACGTGGGCAGAGGCCTCGGGCCTGGCCACGGCCGAGCTGTCCACCTTGGCCTCTCCAGGCCGGCCTCGGGGGCCTCCCCGCCGGCTGCCTCCTCACTGGGCCCAGGGAGCCGCCGAGCTGGAGCAGGAACGTTGGCACCGGCGGATTGTGTCCTGGTTCGCCGATCGGCCGCAGGCCCCCTTCGGCCTCCATCGGCTGGTGGAGCTTGGGCAGAGCTCAGGCAAGAAAGCCGGGGACTGGTATGGACCTTCGCTGGTGGCCCACATCCTGAGGTGAGTCCTTGCGGGGAAAGATGGGAGCCTCCAGGGAGGCCTGGGTGCTGAGGCCTGCCTTCCTGTTCCCAGGAAAGCGGTGGAGAGCTGCGGTGATGTCAGCCGCCTGGCGGTGTACGTGTCTCAGGATTGTACAGGTGAGAGGCTGGGCCTGGGGTCGGGCAGGGCCGAGGGGCACCCGGCGAAGCCGCTGGCACGCAGTGCGGTGGGAGGGGCTTAGGCTGCTTTACTCTGCTTCTTCTACCACAGACCAAGGGGCTGGCCTGAGGCCCTCCTTTGTTGTTGCTGCTGGTGGTGGTGGTGGTGATCATGGGACTTGAACTCAGAGCCTGGGCTCGCTATATCCCTGAGCTTGTTCACTCAAGGCGAGCACTCTACCACTTTGAGCCACTACGCTTTTCTAGAGGTTCATTGGAGATGAGAGACCCGCAGGTCCCAGCCTCCTGGGGAGCTAGGAGGACTGGGGGGGGGGGTGACAGCCCCAGGCTTTTAAGAGTGTCTTCCATCAGATCCTATTTCCTGTTTTCACCAAGCCCTCTAACGCTGGAGCCCCGGCCCTGGCCTGCAGGTTTGTGTTTTTGTTAGATGAGCAGCCTCCAGCCCTGAAGTCTTCCTTCTTTCCTCCACAGTAGACGGGCTGACAGGTGTGTGCTACCACACGTTCTGGGGCTGGAACTCAGAGCTTGTCTGCTCTCCCTGCCTAATGCTCTACCACTTGAACCACAGCTCCATTTCTGGCTTTTTGGTGGCTCATTGGACATAAGAGTCTCAAGGACTTTGCTGCCTGGGCTGGCTGCAAACTGAGATCCTCAGATCTCAGCCTCCGGAGTAGCTAGGATTTCAGATGTGAGCCATGCCCAGCCATGGATTCTTTTTTTTTTTGTCCATCACGGGGCCCGGGCGCTGTCCCTCAGCTCTTCAGCTCAAGGCGAGCGCTCTACCACTTGAGCCACAGCGCCACTTCCAGCTTTTTCTGCTTATGCGGTGCTGAGGAATCGAACCCAGGGCCTCAGGCATGTGAGGCAAGCGCTCCACCACTGAGCCACCTTCCCAGCTTCTGCTCTCCCCATTTATCACCTGTGTGTCCCAGGATTATGTGGGGGACGCTGGGGATGGGGTACTGGCAGAACTACCTTTCCTGATGGTGACACTTTTTTGTTATTTTTGTTTTTGCCTACTAATAAGCGGCACAGGTGAGGTTGGTTTGCGGCCCGCACTCCGGGGCGCACGGCTGGTGGGGTGGGTTGGAGGTGACCCGCTGGCCCCTCCCCCTTGGCCTTCCAGTGTACAAGGCAGATGTGGCACGCCTGGTGGCCAGGCCCGACCCCACAGCAGAGTGGAAGTCCGTCATCATCCTGGTCCCTGTGCGGCTGGGAGGCGAGACGCTCAACCCTGTGTACGTGCCCTGCGTGAAGGTAGGTCCCGCCTCCTCCACCTGGAAGCCGCCGGGCTTTCAGATCAGGTTAGCATCGCTCCACCATCCCAAATCTCCTGTGACTGTCCCCAGGGCCTCGTGCTTACTGGTCTGCGATAATCCCTCCAGCTGGTGACTCTTCAAAGATAGGATCTTTTGTACTCAGCTCAGGGTGACCTTGAACTTGCTAAGTAGTCTGGGCTGGCCTTGAACACTATTCTCTTGCCTGTGTCTGGGATTGCAGCTGGATGCTAACACACGTGTCTGCCTAATGGATGTTTGTTTTTTTTTTGGGTCCGGTCGTGGGGCCGGAACTCTGGGCCTGGGCGCTGTCCCTCAGCTCAAGGCTAGCGCTCTACCCCTTGAGCCACAGCGCCCCTCCCAGTTTTTTCTGCTTATGTGGTGCTGAGGAATCGAACCAGGGCCTCATGCATGCAAGGCAAGCGCTCTACCACTGAGCCACCTTCCCAGCCCCTTGATTTTCTTTATTTTAGTGCCAGTCTTGGGGTTTGAACTCAGGGCCTGGGCCCTGTTGCTCAAAGTTAACAATCACTTGAGCCACGGTGGCTCCAATTCCAGCTTTTTTAAATTTCTTAATTGGAGATAGGACTCCCATGGACTTTCTTGCCCAGGCTGGCTTTGAATGGAGATCTGATCCTCAGATTTTAGCCTCCTGAGTAGCTAGGACTAGAGGTATGAGCCACTGGTGCCTAATTCCCCCAACATTTTTGTTTTAGTCAGTTGTAGGGCGTGAACTTAGGGCCTGGGTGCTATCACTGAGCTCTTTTGCTCAAGATTACTGCTCTAGCACTTTCAGCCACAGTGCCATTTCCAGGTTAGAGTGGTTAAATGGAGATTAGAGTATCATATGGACTTTTCTGCCCCCACTGGCTTTGAGCCACAATGCTCACATCTCAGCCTCCTGAGTAGCTAGGATTATAGGCATGAGCCACCGGCACCTGGCCACTCCAACTTTGTTTTTTGCCAGTCCTGGGGCTTGGAGTCAGGGCCTGGGCACTGTCTCTGAGCTCCTTTTGATCAAGACTAGCACTCTACCACTTGAGCCACAGCGCCACTTCCGGCTTTTTTCTTATGTGGTGCTGAGGAATCGAACCCAGGGCCTCAGGCATGCAAGGCAAGCGCTCTACCACTGAGCCACCTTCCCAGCCCTAATGGATGGTTTTATTGAGGCTTTATAAAGCACCCACTGTCTGTCACTTGCTGTTGTGGGTGCTGGGATTCAGGGAGAATAAAACAAGCAAGAAATTCTGACTCTTCTTCTGTGGCTCAGTATCACAGCAACGTGTTTAGAACACTGAGTTCAATCCCAGAGCCAAGAGATGGACAGCACCTGGGTGATTACAGGCTCACACCCGTAATCCTAGCTACTCAGGAGCCTGAGCTCTGGGGATTTTGGTTTGAAGCCAGCCCAGGCAGAAAAGCTCCCACGAGGCTCTTAAGTCCTATAAACTAGCCAGAAAAACCTGGAACTGTCTATGACTCAAGTGTAGATCGCTAGTCTTGAGCAGAAAGAGGCTCAGGGATAGCACCCAGGCCCTGAGTTCAAGCGTCAAGACCAGCAAAAGATAAAAAAATAGAAATCAAACATTTAGGTTGGTCATAGTGGCGCATTCCTGTAATCCCAGCTACTCAGGAGACAGATAGGGAGGACTGAATTTTGAGGCCCGCCTTGGCAAAATAGTGAGACTCCATCTCAAACAGTAAGCCCAGCATGATCATGTCTCCCTATCCTCTTGGATTAAAGCAGAAGCAAAACACTGTGGGTTGGCGATGGAGGACAGCTTAAATGGCAGAACTTCTACCTAGCCAGTTAAAAGACCTGTGAGGGTTCCATCCCCAGCATTGAGCAACAAGAAAAACAACCACCACTTTAAAGAGCAGATGAACAGCCCCAGTCAAGGGGTGCAGGGCCTAGAAACCCCCCTACAGCCAAGAGGCAGATGATCTTGAGCAGAAGAGTTCCAGCAAGAACAAGTTCTAGCGCTGGGAAGGTGGCTCAGTGGTAGAGAGCTTGCCTAGCATGCATGAAGCCCTGGGTTCGATACCTCAGCACCACATACACAGAAAAAGCCAGAAGTGGTGCTGTGGATCAAGTTGTAGAGTGCTAGCCTTGAGCAAAAGAAGCTCAGGGACAGCGCCCAGGCCCTGAGCTCAAGCCCTAGGATTGGCGCACACACACACACACACACACACACAGAATAAGTTCTAGAAGCTGGAAAGCCCCTGGTGCTTTCTTGTTGTTTCTTCCATTTTTTTGTCCAGTCATGGGACTTGAGCTTGGGGTCTGGGCGCTGTCTCACAGCTCTTTTTGCTCAAGGCGAGTGCTCTGTCACTTTTTTTTTTTGGTCGTGGGACTTGAACTCTGGGCCTGGGCGCTGTCCCTCAGCTCTTCAGCTCAAGGCGAGCGCTCTACCACTTGAGCTATAGCGCCACTTCCGGTTTTCTGGTGGTTTATTGGAGATAGGAGTCTCACAGTCTCTCGGGCCCAGGCTGGCTTTGAACCGCGATCCTCAGATCTCAGCCTCCTGAGTAGCTAGGATTACAGGCGTGAGCCACCAGCGCCCGGCTTGCTCTGTCACTTTGACCAATAGCGCCACTTCTGGTTTTCTGGTTTTCTGGTGTTTAACTAGAAATAAAAGTCTTGGACTGGGGGCTGGGAAGGTGGCTCAGTGGTAGAGTGCTTGCCTTGCATGCCTGAGGCCCTGGGTTCCATTCCTCAGCACCACATACACAGAAATGGGCGGAAGTGGCGCTGTGGCTTAAGTGGTAGAGCGCTTGCCTTGAGCTGAAGATCTGAGGGACAGCGCCCAGGCCCAGAGTTCAGGCCCCACGACCGGACCCCCCCCCCCAAAAAAAAAAAAAAAAGTCTTGGACTTTGCTTTCCTGCCTGGGCTGGCTGCAAGCTCCCTCTTAGATCTGTAGCAAAGACTACAAAGTCACCGCTTGCCAGTTGGCAATGGCTCACACCTGTAATCCTAACTCCTCAGGAGGCTGAGATCTGAGGATCGAGGTTCAAAGCCAGCCCAGGCAGGAAAGTCTGTGAGACTCTTATCTCCAATTACCACCAGAAAAAAACCAAATGGCGCTATGGCTCAAGTAGTTCAGTACTAGCCTTGAGCAAAAAGAGACAGTACTCAGGCCCAGAGTTCAAGCCCCAGGACTGCCACAAAAAGCAAAACACAAAAACAGGTTCCACCTGTCAATGAGGTCTTTGTTGGGTGTGGAACTCAGGAGCATCGTGTCATTTTTGCTCAAGGCTGACACTTTATCGATTGAGACCCAACTCTACTTCCAGACTTTCCCACCCAGGTTGTCTTCAAACTGATCTCTGATCTCAGCTTCCTGAGTAGCTAGAATTACACGTGTGAGCTACTGGCACCTGGCTTCACTCTTCTGTTTCAAGGCGCTCATTCCAGAGTTGGGGTGCAGCTCAGAGGTCGTGCGTTGCTGACCTCAACTAGAATGCAGCCCAGGGGAACTGGGCTGGCTTGGCCTGCTCACGGCTGCCCCCTGTTGTCCTGGGCTCCCGGCCAGCGCAGTGTTTGTTGGGTGACTGAGCATCGCCTGAGCGAGCTGTGGCCCCTCTCCCCCCTGCAGGAGCTGCTGCGGTCTGAACTGTGCCTGGGCATCATAGGGGGCAAACCCCGCCACTCCCTCTACTTCATTGGCTACCAGGGTAGGCCCCGCCCCCGCGTGCACCTCCACTGCCCCCACCCACCCCACCCTCTCCCCAGCCCACACCTGTCCCACACACCCTCACAGATGACTTCCTGCTCTATCTGGACCCCCACTACTGCCAGCCCGCTGTGGATGTCAGCCAAGCCGACTTCCCCCTAGAGGTAAGAGCCGGGGTCGCCTGAGCGCTACTAGAAGCACAGGGTTGGGACCGGGGTGCCCTGAACCTCCCTCTCTGCCGGTAGTCTTTCCATTGCACCTCACCCCGCAAGATGGCCTTCGCCAAGATGGACCCCAGCTGTACCATAGGGTTCTACGCCAGAGACAGGAAGGAGTTTGAGAGGCTCTGTTCCGAGCTGACCAGGGTAAGCGAGAAACGTGGGGTTCGGGGAAAGGTTGGTGGGGAAAGAGTAACAGGGACCTTGAGCATCTGGAGTTGAGGCTGAGCTGTGGTCTTTGGAAATGGAAAGTTGCCCTTGGGGCTGGGGGAAGCAGTCTGTCACAGCCCAGTGCAGTTGGGTACTCCTCTAGTCTGTGCTACATAAAGTTCCAAGACAGCCTGGACCATGCAGCCGGCACAGCGAGAGCCTGTCTTTGAGGATAGAAGCATTTGGGGTCACTGCGCCCTGGGCACAGCTGCCTGCTGTCAGGCCATTTTGAAGTCACTACAGTCCAAAATCTCAGGGCTGCTGCTCATTGGCTGACTCAGGCCACACCGGCGCCAGCACACAGCCAATGACTGCAGCCACAAGGTTGGCGAGCACTGATTGGCCGTGGGGGCTGCCCGCGGGAGGCGGCGATTGGCTGCGGGCTGGCTCGGGTGGCAGCCTCTCCCTGTGCGCTCCCCGCAGGTGCTCAGCTCCTCCTCGGCGTCGGAGCGCTACCCCATGTTCACCGTGGCCGAGGGCCAGGCGCAGGACCTGGGCCTGGACG